TGCATCTGAAGCAGCAAAGACAAGCATAGCTAATCAGGCGAAGGAGAGTGTGCCATTATGAAATGTAGTTGAAGGTGTGTGAATACTGCCAGCTAAGGCTAATTCTGAATATTCTAAAGAAGCCAATTCAACATCTTTCTTATTAAACCCATCCTAATATTCAACTACTGAGAAAGCTTCCCTTAAATCCTTCAAATACCAGCATTATCACTAATGTAAATCACTGGGAAACAATAGGGTTCGAGGTCTCCTTTAAAGCGACAGAGGACAGCCTCATTTTATAACTGAAGATAAAAGGTAACCACCATCATGTTGCTATTTTATAACTGAAGATAAAAGGTAAATACCATCATATTGCTATTCTCTGATAACTCAAATACCCAAGTACCAGCTAGCGCTATGTCTATGGCAGCTGCTCACATTAAAATAAAAGAATTATTAACCCAATTGATAAGCCTCCCAAATTATCACTTATCTAGGACAAATAGTTCATGACAAGTGAGTTTTCTTTCTTTCGGATACTCTAGACATTAGCTGAGGTAAGAAATTAAAACGATGTGAGCTAGGAAAAGAAATAATCTCATGATTTCTGCTTCCCAATAAAGAAATCACTTACAACAATAATAAAGTGGAGAAAATCAAAGTCAAACACCATCAGCAATTTAAGGCAGGTACTATGTTTTTAAAATGTTTTGTTTTTTTTTATTGATTTCAGAGAGGAAGGGAGAAGGAGAGAAACATCAAAGAGGAGAGAGACTCACTGATCGGCTGCCACCTGCACAATCTTGGGGATAGAGCATTTGTCCTTGACCGGAATCGAACCTGGGACCCTTCGTTCTGCAGGCCGAAGCTCTATCCACTGAGCCAAACCACCCAGAGCAAGACAGGTACTATTTACCCCACTCAACTAACTTCATTTTTACTCTATAGATTTCACCCTCACAAAAATTTAGGTTCAGTTTTTTTGTTGTTTTTTTTAATAAAGAGCTCTTTACAAAACCTGATGTTTTGGCTCGGAGGGATTACTGAAATCCAAGGCCCTAGCCTTTCCCAGAATTCCAAGTAAACTCTCCGCAGCAGGGCAAGCTTTTTTCCTGATTTTTATTTATAAATTAAAGCACCATTGAAACTATAAAATATAGTCTTGGCAAAGGGGCTCACTGGGTGAGAGGTTCTTTCTCCATTTACTCTCTACCTGAACTGATGTCAGCCATAATAATACCAACAAACACAAACCTAAGAATTTGATTTAAAAGGGTAATAAATTAATTATCTTCAAACTCATAGGCAAATTAACCTAGATGTGGGGGGTATGATTGCATCCCCAACTACCTGGATTGAGTTATAAAGCTACTCTTCACTGTGTGACCTTGGACCACTATTCAAATTGTACGTGCCTAACTTTTAAGCACCTACAACTGTGCCATGCAGTATGGCAGCCAACAGCCACGTGGGGCTATGTAAAGTAAATAAAATTAAAACTTTAGTTCCTCCGTGGCACGTGCCACGTAGCCCGATGTGGCTACAGACTGCCACACTCGACAGTGCAGACACGGTGATGAAAACAAGCAAGCTGACATGATTGAGAGCAGCAAATGAGACCGAGGGAGCAGGCGTGACTACTTTAGATTCGATGGCGGAGAGGGCCTCACGGAGATGTTGACATTTGAGCTGAGACTTGCATGACAAGATGCAGCTGGCATGCAAAGACCTGCAAGGAGCATCCAAGGCGGAGAAAAGGGCAAGGGCAGAGGCCGCTGGTGCCAATACGCTCGGCTGGTTTAACAACACAGAGTATGTTTGAAGCATAAGAAATAAGGGAGAGGAGCATGAGGTGCGGGAAGTGGCAGGAGGCGGGGCCTCAGGGGTCTTGTAAGCCAGGCAAGAATGTTGGATTTTATAGGTAAGTGCAATCGGAAGCACAGAGATTTCTACAGAGGGGAATGTTACCATCTAAACGATGTCTAAGAACTCATTCTGTCTGCTTTTGAGAACTAGTTACAAGAAACCAAGAGTGCAACCAGGCAAATCTGGTGGAGACAGGTGCCATTGTCCAGGTGAGAGCAAGATGGTGGCTGGGATTAAGGGAGTGAGCTAAAGAGACTGTGTTATTTTTCTCTGCGTCTCATCTATAGTTCAGTGTCTACTCTCCTTCACACCTTGGCTCCTTGAAGTAGTCAACTTCCTTTTGTATCTCCTCGTTATCCTACAGATATACTTTCTGCCACCTCCTTTCCTGTCCTAACCCCCAGTCACCTCCACCTTCCCCAGACCAACAAGCACGTCTCTATCCTTACCTCAGCTCACCTCTGCTGCATTTGCAACAGCTGACTGCTCTGACCTCTCATCCATGTCTCTCCTCCATCAGCTGCTGGGGCATTCAGCTCACCTACTTTCCCTCTCTCTTATTCTTACTCAGTCTTCTTCCAAGTAACCCCCACCAGACTCAAACCTGAGTACTCAGTTCAAGTCAACTACGCAGCCACCCGCTGCAAAAGATGTTTCCGTCAATGATGGACCGCATGTATGATGGTGGTCTGTAAGATTGTAACGGAGCTGAAGAATCCTCACTGTCTAGTGACTTTGTGGCCATCTTAACCTCACAGTACAACGCCTTACTCAGTATTTGTGATGCTACCAGTAGTATGAAATATGGCACATACAGTTACAGCAGCAGGCTGTACCACCCAGATGTGTATAAGTACACTCTATGCTGTTCACACAACAACATGACCACCTAACCGTTAGGTCCTAATGGGACATGGCTGTATGCATAAACCTTGAAACTCATCGGACACTGCTAACTCTCAACATCTCTGAGCCAGGAGTCCTTACTAAGTTTTTGACCTCTGTATCTAGTGTTGGACTGGACCCCTTACTTGGGCGTACCACAACATTTAAAATGCAGAAAGTCCAAAACTTACCTCCTTCCTTCTCTCATTATATTCCCTTGCTCAAGTCAAAAGCTCAGAGGCATTCTCAACTTCCTCTCACTCATCGGCTATAACCCCATCACCAGGTCCTGCAGATTCTACTTCCTTCATGCTCTCTAATCCAGCCCTTCCTCTCAAGTCCTGCTCAGGCAGCTTTGGTTCAAGCTCCCATCACTTCTCGCATGGATTATTGGAATAGTCTCCCAACCAACTCAACTTCCTACCTCTCCTGCCCGTGGCTGTGGAAGTAGCGATTCAAAAACTTCGCTGACTACATCAAGTTCCAATCTGACCATCCACGCATGTCGCTTCTCTGCCTAAAGCCTTTCGGAGGCATCCCACTACTTCCGGGAGGCTTCTCATGATCCAGCTTCCTCCCTGTTACCTTCACAGTCCTCCCCCACAAACCTCCCCCGCCCCCCCCAGTCCCTCCCATTCTCCTCTTCCAGGTTTTCTTAGTTCCCGAATGCCCTGTCATTTATTTCGGCCATCCTTCTTCCACACATGTTATTACCTCTCCCTTGAACTGCTACTTCAAAGGTAGGCGTACATATGACCACTTCGGGAAGTGTCCCACGGGCCTCATAAAAATACAGATGTGCGTTTATAAGTATATTCATCCATGCACATAGCTCACTCGCATGGTAGCTACCAATGTATCTGTCCCAGGAAATTATTAGCGCCAAGAGGACAGAGACCACCAACCTTGTTGGATTTGTAGCGCTAGAATAAGTACTCAGACAGTTTTGATTTGATAGCCTGGAAATTAAAAAAAAAAAAGGGGGGGGGGGGAGGATTTATTTTGGTGGGCCTTTGATCACATCCCAGCACAGCTCAAAGTGACAGCAGGAGCTTGCTGCCCAGCCAACATGCTACTTCCGGTTGGAAATGGGAAGAAAACACACGCCCTCTCTTTCCATAGGAGGCTCGGAGTGACTCACAAACCTGCCTTGGGACCTTACCCGACGCGGGCAAAGGCTGCCCGCTCTTTGGTGATAATGATGGTGGGAGGCCTCCCCTATCAATGAACGTTCGTGGGAATGCCACGCTACATGCGGTTTTGGTGCTTGATGTGGGCTCTCGCTCCCTTCCTGGCAGGCTATTACCCTGACTTAGGAGCCGCTTCCTCACACCTTTGCAGCCACTCGCTTGTCAATCAGCCATTTATTTGGTCTCTACATCTGAAGGTGGGGGTGAGGAGGGTTGGGAGAAGAGGGCGAGAGGGGGAAGATAAACACTTCTGGAAGGGGGTGGGAGGGTGGCAGAAGGCCAGGGACCCAGGAAGGGGGGATCAGGACCCAGGGAGGGGGGATCCGGACCCAGGGAGAGGGTAGCAGGACCCAGGGAGGGGGAAGCCGGACCCAGGGAGGAGGGATCCGGACCCAGGGAGGGGGGATCAGGACCCAGGGAGGGGGGATCGGATCCAGGGAGGGGGGATCCGGACCCAGGGAGAGGGTAGCAAGACCCAGGGAGGGGGGATCCGCACCCAGGGAGGGGGGATCCGGACCCAGGGAGGGGGGATCCGGACCCAGGGAGGGGGGATCCGGACCCAGGGAGGGGGGAGCCGGACCCAGGAAGGGGGGGATCCGGACCCAGGGAGGGGGGATCCGGACCCAGGGAGGGGGGATCCGGACCCAGGGAGGGGGGAGCCGGACCCAGGAAGGGGGGGATCCGGACCCAGGGAGGGGGGAGCCGGACCCAGGGAGGGGGGAGCCGGACCCAGGGAGGGGGGAGCCGGACCCAGGGATGGAGGAGCCGGTTGTAGCGCCGACAGCTGTCATCAAGGCGCGGGGCACACCGGGTGGGCAGGCAGGCGGGGGCGGTGGAGAGGACACTCGCCAGGGCTGGGGGCTGGGGGCCGGGCCGGACGGAGCCCCGAGGAGGCAGGACGAGGCTGGGGGCAGACGGCGATGTGTTTAGGAGACACCGGACCACCGGCAGGCGACCCCCACGCCGCCCGGCGGGCGGAGGGGACGTGGGGGCGCGCCGGGCAGGGGTCCCCGCGGGAAGGAGAGGAGGGGCAGCGCCGGGGCAGAGGGAGGGAGCCCGGGGGCAGGGGGCACTTACTGGGGTCCCTCCGCAGGGCGCCGAGGGGGGTCTCCTCCCGCAGCTGAGGGAAGAGGAAGTCGCGGGCGGCCTGCAGGTCCTGGAAGTGGCAGAACTGGACCACGGAGCAGGCCATGGCTCCCGGCGGCCCCGCCGGGCACTCACCTGACCGACCCGACCACGCCCTGCCCCCTGCCCCCCGCCGCCGCCCCGCGGAGGCCGCCGCCGCCGCCGAGCCCCGGAGCTGCTGCCACCAGGGGCGGGGGCACCGCACCGGAAGCTGTCAGCGCACGGGGCGGTCCCGCCCCCTCCCGCACTGCGCAGGCGCAGAACGCCCCGGCAGCCCAGGTCCGCGTCACGTGACCGGCGGCGGATGCCCCCGGGGTCCCAAGCCGACGTGGAGGCCTGGCACCGACTCCAGTGCGCGTTCTCCTCCCGGGAACGACCCCCTTTATTCATTCTGGCTAATTCTGGCTGTTGTCCCCTGTCACTGAAGCGATCTTTTTTTCGTTTGTTTTTTTTTTAGTATATTTTATTGATTTTTTTACAGAGAGGAAGAGAGAGGGATAGAGAGTTAGAAACATCGATGAGAGAAACATCCATCAGCTGCCTCCTGCACACTCCCCACCGGGCATGTGCCTGCAACCAAGGTACATGCATGCCCTTGATTGGAATCAAAGGTGGGACCCTTCAGTCCGCAGGCCGATGCTCTATCCACTGAGCCAAACCGGTTTTGGCTGCTGAAGCGATCTTAAGAGGGCTTTGCTATAGGTAAGATCCTGACAGTTGCAGAGGACAATCCTTGTGAAACCAGGTAGCATGCAAGTGTCCGGGTTTGCAAAGATTGACTTCTTTTCCCAGCTTGAAATGCTCCTCCTGCAAATTCCCAGGGTGCTATGCACACCCCATACTGTACTGCGTGTTACACCGTCACTGGCTTACGCTTGGGACCTGCACTGGATTTCCCATTCATTCACCCATCCATCCACCCATTCAACAAATGGGCATCGCTCCCCGTTTCCATTCCAGACATGTGTAGTACAGAGCAGAGAATAAAAGAGATCAAGCACTTGTTCCCATTTAAAATTCTAGCAACTGGCACAGGTAGTCAGCAATTCATGAATTACTTAACTATTTAACCGAAATGGAAAAAACAAAAAAACAAACCACACAATTTAGCCTATAATGCTAAAGAAAGAAGTACTAAGTGCTAACAGAACGTAGCAGGGAACCTTGCCTAGTTTTTTGCTGTTTTATTGGGGGTGGGGTGGACGGTTGCCAGGCTCAGGTACAGACTTGGTTGTGAACTCCTGGAGTTGGGGGTCTCATAAATGCCACTTCATGTCCACAGTGTCTAGCATAGCACAGAGTGCTTCACAAATATTTGCTGGAGGAATGAATGGAATAGAATGTGTACATAAAGTAAACAAAAGGAGCCATTCCTTTACAAAGCACTTTATATATTTTTTAAAGTACTTTTCCATACATTGTCCAATCAGGTAGTCACAAGGTCATCTAGAAAGTGTGTCTTCACTTAATTTTTCAATGAAGAAATGTAAGTGTTTTTGAACAGACTCTTGAAGTTCATTTCAATAATTTTTCTAAAACACAAAAACTGAAGAAGAAATTACTTTAAAGTTAACGCAAAATACTATAGATACTCATATGCTTTCTCAAAGAAACCTCAAGTGGTTGTCCACTCTGTATGACAGAAAATGGGATGGAAATAAAATAAACTGAAGGCACATAGGTAAAGTCCAGAACATTGATTTCTGTCGGGGCTGTTACAATAATATAAATACTTTTTAGTGCCCAGGTTCCTCCTCCATTAATCCCTGTTTCTAGAGCAGGACGAATTTCACAAAATAGGATAGAGCAGTGGTCAGCAAACTTCGGCTCTTTGGCCCCTTGAGTTTTCAGCAAAGGCCTGCTTAGAAGTACCCTAATTAAGTTAATAACAAGATACCTACCTAGATAATTTAAGTTTTAAAAATTTGGCTCTCAAAAGAAATTTCAATCATTGTACTTTTGATATTTGGCTCTGTTGACTAATGAGTTTGCCGACCACTGGGATAGAGGATTCCTATGTTATCAGGTTAACAGAGAGCAGTTCTTCATCTACAAAATACCTGGTTGGAGGAGATGTGCTGTAGGGTTCCTTAAGCACAGAGACCTGCAATTCTATATTCAAAGCTTGCAGAAAAGGCAAGCCTTCCATTTTCCTTTTTCCATCTGGAAAAAAATAAATCAGCCGAAACCGGTTTGGCTCAGTGGATAGACCATCGGTCTATGGACTGAAAGGTCCCAAGTTCAGATTCCCGTCAAGGGCATGTACATTGGTTGCGGGCACATCCCCAGCAGGGGGTGTGCAGGAGGCAGCTGGTCGTTGTTTCTCTCTCACCAATGTTTCTAGCTCTTTATCTCTCTCCCTTCCTCTCTGAAAAAAAACAAAAAACAATAAAATATATTTTTTAAAAAGAAAGAAATCAGTGCTTCCTCAGATCATCCAGATCTGCTGATTAAACCCCAAAATATAACCCCAATCCCAAAGTAGAATAAAATTTAAATCTAGACTCTCAGCTTTACAGGATGGATAAAGGACACGTGACACTTTTTGGAAGCGTACTTGTCACTTCTTGGAAGCCACTCAAGTTCCTATTCAGGTAAATGCATTTTGTGGAAGTAACTGCTCTTGGCCGATTCCGCTGGCCTTTGTCCTGCCCTCAGGCATTCATGCGTCTCTGTGCTGGGGCTTCATTATGGCTGTTTCGCTGGTGAAGTTCCTGACTTCCGTCCAAGCTGTATAGAAAAGGCCCATTCATGAATGTTTTGAAGGACTTTCGATGCCCTTCCCAGGAATCACAGCACATTCATGATCTGCACTCTTCCCCTCAGGAAGTTGTAAAGCTGCCGGGGATGACCCTGGAGTCATGCTGCCATGGTTTCGGGAAGGCGTGCCTTTCCCGCAGGCTTTGAATATAGATTAGACAGTGAATATCGCTCACTGCCCAGTCCTAAGAAAGCACATTGCAGAAAACGGACAGGTTTTTACACAGCCCGGCCCAGACAGGGTGGCTTGCCGAAGTGTGATTTTGGGAGCTAAAGTGGTGTGACCAACATAATCAGGAGAGGAAGCTAACATGGACTCCCTCCGGCGTCTATCCCTGTGAGTTAGAACCCTGATCACTGTGGTGAAGAGAAAGATGCTTGCTCAGCATGAGTAGCAGCAGGTCCTTGCCACTCTTGACCAGAAGTCAGAGGTGGAAGGTGTTCAGATGGACAGCAGCGTGTGAAAGAAAGAGCAATGGACATGGAGGTCTGTCTTAGCTAGGCCACTAAGATAGTCACATGGACTTGGGCAATTCATGTCACCTTCCTGGACCTTTTAGTGTCTTGGACTAGAGCAGTGGTCGGCAAACTCATTAGTCAACAGAGCCAAATATCAACAGTACAAAGATTGAAATTTCTTTTGGGAGCCAAACTTTTTAAACTTAAACTTCTTCTAACACCACTTCTTCAACATAGACTCGCTCAGGCTGTGGTATTTTGTGGAAGAGCCACACTCAGGGGCCCAAAGAGCGCATGTGGCTCTCGAGCCACAGTTTGCCGACCACTGGGCTAGAGGAAATGAAATTGAACCCTAAAGTCCATTCCAGGAATGTGTAGGTTTTGGTAAGATATTGGGAAGGAAAAGGTCTGGGAGTTGGAGTTGCTCAAAGGGTGTGTGTGTGTGTGTGTGTGTGTGTCTAGGTGGGCACCTGAGGAAGAGGCTGGGAGGGCAGAAGTGAATTTGAGGACACTAAGTGAATCAAATGACAGCCTTAATGATAACTGTGCTGCGAGCCATCCTGGACATCAGAATTGAAATGTGAGCAGAAGCAGGTCCATAAACAGCTAGTTTTATTTGCCAAATACCCACGGAGGATACGTACCACCTGTTTATTGAATTAGAGGCGCTGTGTGAGCGCAGAGAGGTGAGAAGGACTAGCCCATCAGAGACACTGCCTTGCTGGGAAACAGACAAACGCAGAGAGGTCTGACAAATGCAGAGGCATGGGTGCCCGTTGGTCCTCATACAGAGGCATGCTAGGAACATCCTATGGTACTTGGTTACTGAGCATCTGCCTTTGCAGTCCTTCAGAACTCAGCTCCAACACCACCTCCTTGGTGAAGGACCTGACATTCCCAGGCAAGATGAGCTTTTTACTATGCATCTGTTCTAAAACTTATCACCTTGATGACGGCGTAACCACATATCTGTCTCCCCCACTAGATGGTGATGTCCTCAAGGGCAGGGGTTGCAACCTGTTTACCTTTATTCATTCATTGAATATATATATATATATATATATATATATATATATATATATATATATATATATTTTTTTTTTTTAAAGCCTACTAGGCACCAGGAGCTAAATATATTCATGGCTCATACACAATACACAAAAGAAACACATATTTGTACTAACAGATAATAGATTGCAATGACACACAGAGTTGAGTAGGCAGTTATAACTCTGTTTTGAAAGTGCAATGTTGGGCAGAGCACAAGGGAATGCATAAGCGCACCTCGCTTTGGAGGGCTTCCTGGCACTAGCATCATCTCAGCTGAGACCAGAAGGACCGAGTAGGTGTTAGTCAGATATAAACCAGATGGAGGATGCCATGGAGCAGAGAGGCTCAGTATTCTCAGACACAGAGAAAAGGGAGGACAGAGTTTATTTAGTGGGCTGAGTATCCTTCGACCTGTCTAGAGCTCAAAAAAAGTGTTACAATAAAGCAGGTAAGATAGGAGGGGCGAAATCATACAAGAACCCAAGGGCAGGGACTATGGTGTATACAAATTTGTCTCTTTCTCCAGTGTCTAGAGTAGTGCTTGACAAACAGGTGGCTGGCTGGTAAATGTTTGTGGAAGGGAGGAAAGAAGAAAAAAAATGAAGGGATGTATATAAATGACATGGAGCCAAAACCAGTTTGGCTCAGTGGATAGAGGTTAGCCTGTGGACTGAAGGGTCCCAGATTGGATTCCGGTCAAGGGCATGTACCTTGGTTGTGGCACATCCCCAGTGGGGGGGTGGGGGGGGGTGAAGGAGGCAGCTGATCCATGTTCCTTCCTCTCTAAAAAAAAAAAAA